CACATTAAACCTGCTTAATCTAACACCGATTGAAAATCTGCCTCCCCTAGTAAAAATCTCTCTTTACGCCTATGGAAAAATGTAGGAAATGAGTTAAAAATATAAACGGATGGGATAAAAAGAGAAAAACTTGAGGTTAAGGCATAGGATTATTGCATGCGCTTCCGATTTCAGAATATCATGTCAGTACTGTATGTATTTAATGAGCTAATCAACTGCAAATAATGCACGATTTGTAAGCCCGATATAATCAACGACGATAAGCATAGAAAGGAGTTTTCTCGAAGTTCAAAGGATATGTTTCATGCATTTCTGATCAGATACATCTTCGACCGATTAATGACTTCGGTAATTCCAAATTCAACCGAGAACAGAACTATCAGTTTCTGAAATAGAAGTACATATACGTAATGCATATTTATATGCCAACAGAGTTTGACATTATAAACGATGTAAATCTATAGATTAATAGCGTTTGATGAACAAGACGATTTAATTCGAATCATTTCTAGAGTTTAGAACACGATGAAATGATCTTCGGATAACTGTATTGGCATATACATATGTGTTTGTCGTGCGACCTCCCCATCATTGTTCCTGCTCCTGTTTAATGCACATTTAAGAAAACGTTTAAATGAATAAATTTAAAACTTCTGCTGCCTTTTTTGTAGTTCTGGACCTAGTTGGTAAAGAAAATGATCTTTTTTATTTATACTTATATGAGCTTTCTTTTTCTTTTTTGTCACGGCATCATATAAACCACAAATCTTAAAACTGCATCTGCAATAAGAGTGAGATGTATCGCATTTCCAATATCCATGGGGACGACAATGTAGTCAGTCTATGTTGCAGTAAAAACTTCGAGAAGTCTTAGATATATTTCTCATAAATTTATCTAGAAAGAAATCTCCTTTTTCAAACTTTACTTCAGATATGTAATCTTCAATTCTGTGAATCTTATTTTTCTGTAAATTTATCTTTCGATCATCAGGCAGGCAAGTACCTAACATAAAATTGATGCATAATTGTCAACCAAATGCCGATAGATGAAATGAAAGTTGCCACAGTTTTATTAATTAATAACTGGCATTGCCTATTGGAAATGAAAATATTTTTAAATACTTTGTTGTGTCTGCTTGCTAACTTTTGTATGTAACCTACATAAATAAAAGCTGTTGAAGCAACTCGTTCATTTTATTTTACGCTTCTTTAAGTTGCTTTTAAGTATCTAGGAAGTCAGATAAGTCAAGACGGAAGGAGTAATAGGGTCGAATTGTCTTCAGTAAAAAGAAGTCACTTCTATGCTCGCGAACGATTAATTTAAAAATTCGAAAAAGATTGTGAAAGGTGTATGTTTGGAGAGCGGCTCTGTAAGGGTGCTAAACATGGACGGTGGGCTCGGCGGAAAAGAAAAGGTTAGAAACGTTCGAAATGTGGTATTACAGGCGAATGATGAGGATACCGTGGAAAGAGAAGAATGTAGAGGTATTAGAAAGAATAGGAATAGGAACTGAGCACTCTATGGAAGTCATTAAGAAATAGGCGAGATATGTTGGTAGGACACCTTCTCAGACATGAAGGTTTAGTCAGAGACATATTAGAGGCAGAAACAGGAGTTAGGAGGAGTAAAGGTAAACTTAGATTAGATTACTGTTCGCAAATAGTTAAGGATGTAGGTTGTTCCAGTTTTAGGGAAATGAAAAAATTCGCTCAGGATAGAAAAAAGTGTAGGTGCGTGTCCAACCAGTCTTAGGACTGACAATCTTATGACGATGAAGTTAAGAACGCCCACAATGATTATCAAAGCATGTTTATTTTAGCGTAACATAAACAAGCTAAAGCTTTTCCTTACATTATGAATTTTTTCTTCCTTAAGTAAGCCGTCATAAAGTGTTATAACCAATGAAGCGCAATGATCCTGTGCTTTATTTTCTGAAATATTCCCTTTATTAATATTGACAATATTCTTTAAGAGGAAGCAAACCACAGACGTCAAAGTTCATTTGCAGCAGATATTGTAACTTCACATTTTAGATGTAAAGACGTGTCACTATAATAACAAGTGCGGTACACCGCAAACATTGATTATATTTTACGAAAGCTGCAGGATTTAACCACACTTTGGGACATCTTCGTATTGTGCACAATTCTTACTTCCTTTGAATAAAGAATGTTGTGCACAATACTGTTGATGACAAATTTGGTTTATCGTGCAGTCTCAGAGTCTTAATTTACTTGACAGTATCACAGGATATTTACTCACGAGGGGTTAAGGCTTAGATAACCTTATAAGTCCGCGCTTATAGTATACACACGGTGTCTAACGGTGACCAACCATCAAAATTTTCGGAAACTACTTCGATTTGAATTTTGAAAATTTGGACAATAACGTTATTGGGTATGCTCTGTTCAATTAAAATAACGGCATCTATGTAGCACTTCCGTTTATACCGAAAGTTGATATCAACTTCGTTGTTTTAAATGGAACACCCTATATATTTTAACGAGGAACTTATAAGTACTGTCCTTATTAACTTGGCTAGCGTGCTTATCAAATTTATAAACTGCTTCGTAGAATCAGATGCACAAGCAAGTACCTTAGTTAGGTCCTTGTGCAACCATAGCATTATAAACAAGAGGTATCATTGTCATCAGACGCCATTTTGGGTCCAGTCAACAGAAATGATAACGCGAATGTCTGTTAATTCAGTAATTCAAACTTTTATGTTTGACTTTTCGACATATATATGTATCTAGGTAGTAGTGGGGTGGTTAGGCCTATTATTTATTATCAAGAGCAACCTACTACAGTCAGGACGCAAAATGGCGGATGATAATACCCTATGTTTGACTTTTTGACATAGATATGTATTCAGGTAGTAGTGGGGTAGGTAGGACCTATTATTTATTATCAAAAGCAACCTACTATGGTTAGGACGCAATAAGGCGGATAATAATACCCATGTATTTAGTGCCTTAGTTTAACATACGAATAGAATATTTCAGTTCACATTAAGAACTCACAAAAAAATAATGTTCTTTTTACGTAATGCTGATCTACATTTAATTTTTTTTTGCTATTGAAATGACCCGAGCAACGCTAGTAATTATATGTTTGTTTAAAGACATATATTACAAAATAAATTTCTGCAAGTCAGATGGAACACTTGTTTTTGGTAAAGCTAATAAATAATACGAAGCTGTTCGAAACTTTTGGATAGTTACAATTTATTAAGGTTACGTTCGCGAAACCTCACATTAGGTATTTAAACAGATGGTTGAAAGGATGTTGATAATACCTAATGGCGCTACCAAGGAAGTTACCTATTTTGGAAATTTCCAAACTTTGAAGGGCTGTAACTGACTCTGAACTTATCTTTTTGTTTAGAACAAATGGAAACCGAAACAATCGTTCGTAGGTACTCCTTCCGCAACTCGATTCATAAAAAGTTATATAAACATAATTTTAACTGAGTTTGTAACAAGTTAACTTTGTTAAGAAGTTTAAATTTAGAAAGTGCAGATTAATAAAGTCGAGAGTAACTTGCAGATCTCTTCATCCAACGAAAGTTATAATGAAATTGTTTGTGCTAAAGAAGACAAAGGAACCATTCGAGATCAACTCTACTTTTCATAAAAAAGTAAAATCTGGGTCACAGAACGAATTTGATTTTGGAGTAAACTTTATGAAGCACCTAACCGTGAAATGTACAACTTTTCTGGACCGCAAGAAGTCAAAAAATTATTTTTCAATAATAAGTTTTATGAGAATTCTTTTAAGGACTTCATAAGTAATTATTCGTAAATTAAAAAGTACAAAGTTGATTATGTTTTGATGATGAAGGAGAAGACTAAGTTTATTGATTTTAAATTACAGCTATTATATTTGGCCATATTCTTTGCTATTTGTAAGTATAATAATTTGTTTTATTAAACTTTTTTTACTATAATTGAAACACTGGTATTGATATGGTAAAAGGTTTTTACAAATTTTTAGCGTTTATTTAAAGGATTTCTGATGTATTCCACAAAGTATTTTATTAGCTGCTCTAATGTTGGTTATAATTAATGAATCTTTTTTAATTTCTGATACATTTTTGTTTACGTATATTTTAATTAAAAAAAAGATATTTTATATAAATATGTGTTAATTATTTTGGTTTTGTTATAACACAAACTGTTTAACATTGATTTATATTCAATTTAGTTATAAATTCATTTCATATACATCAATATTTATCAAGCACTGTTTGCTTCATTATATGCTAATAAATATTCGTTCATTTTGTGGCGGTTTAGATTTATTTAAAAACACAAAAATTAGGCCAAGGGACATTCATTGTATTGACATTATAGGTAAATTGTCGACAGGACTGAAATATACCGATAAACTACCGAATTGGATGACACTAGTTCAATGAAACGCTAAATTGGAATCGAAGTATAGATATTGTCAAAAATGTTATTCCAACAACAAACAATTAATGAAAATTAGGCTAGAAAAATACGGGTATAGTAAAAAAAACAAAATATATACGTGGCTTTCTACCTAAGGTGGTTTCGTTCAGAACTCTGTTATTATACTTTTAATATTATTTATATCTGACAGTTTTTCAGAAAAAATTATAATTAAAATATTAGTAAAAAAGGGGCTTTTAATTTCGTATCGAATGGTATTATTTCATATGGGTCATTTCATTCGAAAGAAAAAAAGTTATTCATCTTATAAGATTGTCAAAAGTAGGTTTCCATATTTCCGACTTTTTCCCATAGCAAAAAATATACGGTAATTCGTGCTAAATACTGGGTGTTCCAATTAAAACAACGAAGTTAGGTAGCGTTCAGAAGAAACAGAACACCCTGTATGATTAAAAATATTTCCTGCATTTACACCATATGATTCCAGACCACTTATAAAAATATTTTTTATTAAAAGTATAATAAGAGAATTATCGCCTTAGGTGGAACACCCTGTACATCAATATACAAACAGCACTTACATGAATTTGTAGTTGTAGTTGATAGTCGACGATTCCTATTTTATCTGAAAAAAAGGAAACAATATTAAACTTCCCTTAAGCAGTTATGGTAGATTACCTAGATTTAGTATACAAAATATACCCAACCCAACATCATCAAATGATACAGCCGTTCATGGCGCAAATTTTGACACAATTTCGAATCAGCATCTATAACAGGGTACTCTCCGTTGGCCTATAGAATCATGAAATCTTTTATCCCAGAAGTAAAGGGTAAAATTCGAAATACGTAAATTTTTTGTTTTATTACTATTAGTAGTATAGTACTAGTACTACAGAAAAGATAATTTTTTAATTGTAATATTGTATTAAAAATTAAAAAGGAAGACTCACCCCTAATTACCACAAAAAAACTTGTTTGAGCGGACACGTGTTTCGTGTTGATAATGCCCACGTATGAAGTGGGCGAAACACGTGTCCGTTAATAAAAGTTTTTTTATGGTAATTAGGGGTAGGTCTTCCTTTTTAATTTTTAATTAAAATTTACCACAGTCTCCTCTTTCTACTTTTACTATACTTAATATTGTAATTATACGTTTTGAAGACCGATTTTAAGGGAAACTTAAAAGCATTTTCGCAAAAAGCGGGTAAAATCTTCGATAAATAATCAATTCCCATGATAGACGAACTACGTATTTAGGTTCCATGATATTTAATCCCCCGACAAACAATTTCCGACAAAATATCCCCAAGACGAAAAAAACTCAGACAAAATATCCCGACAACGAAATATTGACTAACAAAATAAAAAACTGTAGCAAATTAAGAGAAAGCATGTATATTTATTGAATAAAATATAACATATTATGAGAATAATGCATATTTTGTGTGAGTTCTTTGTCTTGGGGATATTCTGTATGGGGATGTTTTNTCTGCCTCTAATATGTCTCTGACTAGACCTTCATGTCTGAGAAGGTGTCCTACCAACCTATCTCGCCTATTTTTTATTGACTTCCATAGAGTCCTTTGTTCTCCTATTCTTTGTAATACCTCTTCATTTCTAACCTTTTCTAACCACGTTATCCTCATCATTCGCCTATCACACCAAATTTCGAAGGCTTCTAACCTTTTCTTTTCCCCCGCGCCCACTGTCTTTTATATCCCTACTACTCCTTCCGTTCTGACTTATCTGCCTTCCTAGGTATCTAAAATCAGCCACTTCTTCTAATTTTTCGTCTCCTATCTTTATATTCGCTCTTTCCCTACTTTTTCTTCCCTTGCATACCAGTATTTTAGTTTTACTTTTATTTATTTTCATACAGTACTGATCTGTCAGTACCGCTTCCATTTTATTTAAAGCTATCTCTAGGTCCTCCTT